CAATATTGAACTGCTGACAATATTCAGTCACCCCCCCAAGAGGGCGTCATGTGGCACAAGGCCTTTTTAACGTGGGCAATTCACAAGCCATTAGGCTCGGCCAAAAAATAGCCCATATGAACCCGTATAAACGGGTTCAGGGCCGGTTTTACCTCCCCGAAAGAAAAAAAAACATTAGTAACGTTTACAGTGTTGGAAAGCAGTTGACAAGTCAAAAACTTGCGCAACAGACTTTGAACTTTTTCGATTGCGCCTAAAAACAGTTGAAATTACAACAACAACAATAATAAGAAGAAGATTATTATTAATAATAATAATAATAATAATAATAATAATAATAATAGAAATTATCAAGCACACCTGTTTAAAAATTGTGCTATCCCAAAATGCAGATTCTGTACTAAATATCCAGAAACAATTGATCATCTCGTATCAGTTTGCGCGGTATTTGAAACCCACTGAATATAAAACCCGACATGACAGAGTGGGCCAATATCTGCACTGGAAAATATGCAATTTCTACGGGAAGGAAACTCAAAGAAATTGGTATGAACACCACCCAGACCCGGTTACGGATATAGGACCTGTTACAATTTTATGGGACTTTACAATACACACAGACAGAACAATAAAAATTAATCGCCTAGACATCGTGATCAAAGACCACAAACAAAAATGTGCCTCCTTATTGATATGGTAGTCCCTGCAGATTGCAATGTATCTTTCAAGATCTTCAAAAAACTACCAAAATACAAGGACCTTGAAATCGAAATCTCAAAAATGTGAGAACATCAACAATCCCTTTTGTAGTTGGAGCCCTCGGATTGATTGGAAAAGATTTCAATAGACTCATTGAAGGGATTCCTGAAAAACCCATGCCTTAAAGAAATACAACACCTTACGAAGGCCTTTATCTATGTAAAATATGTGTGATTTTATTTTTATTTTTTTTTAATTGGTCAGTGGAAAATGTCATGATGCCATTTCTGACCTTATGTGACTGCTTGGGACCCGAAAAGAAATGAGTACACACCAGAAATCAAAGGAAATAATAATAATAATAATAATAATAATAATAATAATGTATAAAGACCACCCAGACCCGGTTACGGAGATAGGACCTGTTACAATTCTATGGGGCTACACAATACACACTGACACAACAATCAAAGCCAACCGCCCAGATATTGTTATTAAAGACCACAAACAAAAACGGTGCCTCCTTATTGATATAGCAATCCCTGCTGACTGCAATGTATCTTTGAAGATATTCAAAAAGCTGTCAACATACAAGGACCATGAAATAGAAATCTCAAAAATGTAGCATATGGGAACATCAACAATCCCTGTTGTAGTTGGAGCCCTAGGATTGGTTGGAAATGATTCCAGTAGACTAATTGAAGAGATTTCTGGAAGTCCATGCCTCAAAGAGATACAAAAAATTGAACAGCCCACACTTTACGAAGGGCTTTATCTATGTATTTTTTTTTTTTTTTTTTTTTGTCAGTGGAAAGTGTCATGATGCCATTTCTAACCTTAGGTTCCTGGGCGGGACCCGGAAAGTAATGTGTAAACGCCAGAAATCAAAGAAAATAATAATAGTAATAATAATAATAATAATAATAATTGTTGTGGATTCCGGGATGAAATCCAGTCTCAAATGGATGACAAACACAGGAATGAAATATAGCAAATAAATGTATTGACGTAATAATACAATTGGTAATACGGTTAGTAGAGCCAGAAATGTGGTTAATAGCAATAATAATATATATAAGGTCTGGGAAATTCAGTATCGAAGTATGACTTCCTTCTGAGTCTACGTGCTCGCAACTGTGACTCCTACAAAGCGGTTACCTCACACTCTTACTCTATCACCGTCACTCTCTGACTTCCGACTTCCGGGTATTCACCGGCAGCAGTACAAGTACACTCTGAGCGAGTCCACTTGTATGAAAAAGGGGTGGACCCCTAACAATATTAATAA